TACTATCTCTGAGGCTTCCAAGTTCATACTACCAAAAAGTCATATGGTCAGAAGGACACAAAAATGGCCCTGTTTGTTCTGATGACCTCAGCACAGCCCTGTGATATTCCTCTGGTCCTTGCAAATTGAAAGCATTATACAACAATAGTTCTCCCTCCTTCCCCATGAAAAGATTGCCAGCTCTTGCTCTAAATTATGATTACAAAATTCAGTATTGCTTGAGAGAAGATCTGAGTATGTCCTGAAAATGTGTAAACCCTGGATTACTTATTTCCTTTCTCTGATTGCCTGCTTTTGTTATGCAGAATCCCAGATACATTTTAAAATTCAGTTGAAATTTCACTCCTGTAGCAGATTTTTTTTTAAAGTGGCAAATCCAAATTTCCCAATGGATTTGAACAGCTTAGAGTGAAAGTGTTAACTCCAGAAGTGGAATGAGATTTGGGAGGTCAATATCTTCCTAGACATTCTGAATTCTTGTGAATGTGACTAAATTATAGGAATGAGAGGAAAGATGGCAAAAATTCCATATTTGTCTATTACAAAAATACAAAGTGTCTTGTATCTTAAGCAATAGAAGATTTTCAAGTGGAATACATTCTCGTATATGGGAGAGACTGTTTTGGTAAAGAATGTAGCTTCATGCATCTAAAGATGCCAGAAGACTTCTGTTTATGAGTATACAAGTGAACATAGAGATGTGTGTAGAGAAGAATAATGATAATCTTGGCCAGGTGAGCAGAATCAACTGCAAGTCATGATGCAGAGTTTCTGCCCCTGATCAGGCAAGAGAGAATTTTGAGGATGGAACATTGGAAAGGGACGTTGGCAAAAATCTATGCTTCATGCAAAATGGTGATAGAGATGTTGGATAGGAAAGAAATTTGAACAGCTTGGTTGGGTTTCTTACCTTATTAATGAGTTCGTCATTATTCTGTTTAATTTCAATATTAATAGGGATTCCAGGGTATTGCTCAAAAACCTCTTCCAAACGTGGAATCCGGTGATCATTGCCATGGGAGAAGTTGCCTGTAAGGAAGGATAGGTTGAGGGTAGCTAAAAAGAACAGTATTTTTCTCAGAGCACAAATAGACATCTTGTCTGTCCTTCTGCTGCAGCACCTTTTACCCCAAAGCTACTCTTAGTCCTACTCACCTGGGGAAAATGTCACCTCCAGAGAAGACTTATATGGTGGCAAATCCTATGGGACACAAACAGTAAGAGTAAGGATTAAGAGAGGATTTTGAGAGAGATTTAAGATTGGTGTGTGCTGGATGGAGAGAATTAGAGCAAGATCTCCTGGATGTTCTGGAAGAAGGAATGCAATCACAGAGCTAGAGCCATTGTTCCAAAGGAATGATATGGAAGCATACTGTGCAGTCATCTTGCTTCTGGTAAGTGTGTAAAGCCAATGTGGTGTAGTGGTTAGAATGCTGGAGTAGGACTGGGGAGGTCCAAGTCAGAGCCATCTGCAGGATTAATACTTTCATCAAAATGACAAAAGCAATATTACTCTGTTGTCGCCCAAGCTCCACCCCTTTTGTTATGTACATGCAATGTCATGTTGCACATGAGAAGAGATGAAGCTTGCATTGTGATGACATAATGGTGCTTTCATCATTTGCCCCCAACCCAATTCAAATCCCCTCTCAGCCATAACATTCACTAGGTAACTTGGGGCCAATCACACTCTCTCCACCTAACCTACCTCAAAGGGATTTTTAAAACATGTTAAAAATGGAGGATGTTATCTATTCCACCTTGAGTTGCTGGAGGAAAGGCAGGATATGAATCTAATGAATTAATAATGGGAGGCAGCCTTACATTGTTACTTACATTGCCTTAAAATCTATCACAGGATGGAACTGAATAATACAAAAAGGGCAGGGCAAGTTGGGAGCAAGGATCCTCACCTTATAGTTTGTGAGGCTGAGATTGATGTTGTGTCCTGTCTCGCGTTCCAGATTATCATCGTGAGACACAACCACAATCCCATCTTTGGTCAGATGGCAATCAAGTTCAAGCAGGTTTGTACCCTGGTTCACTGCACTGGGAAGATGCAAAGATTGGCAAGAGAGGTTGAAGGGCAGGCTTAGTGCACAACAAGGATAAATTGAGGTAGAGTGGAGATGTCATTACTTACTTTTTAAAGGCTCCCAAAGTGTTCTCAATCTGCTCTCCAGCACCTGGAGAGGAAATCAAACTATCTTATGCACTCTCCCTCCCAGGAACTTCAAGTACTTCTGCTCTGAGTTTCAGGAATGTGGCATTACAAGACGCAAAACTAGAGCAGAAAGAATTGTGAACATCCCACCTGCCGACATCCCACTTATCAGAAGAAGAAGCAGAGGCAGGAATCTTGGGACTGATTTCTTCCTCTCCCCACTTCCCTCATTCATCCTTGACTTGCAGCTGCAGTGCACATCCTGACCTCTTCAGACTCTGAAAGCACCCTCCATCCAGATGCCCAATTTACATAGCAAAACTTACCACCCCTGTGGGAGCCATGCAAGCATCGAACAGGAAACTTGCGTGGTTTATGAAGGAGATGTGGCTTCTTTCGAAGACAGTGAGATGCCAGTGCATAGATTCCAAAGGCAGGTAGCCCAAAGAGGAGTAAGTGGTAGCTCATCCTGGTACATGGAAAAGGGAAAGCAGCTGATTAGTATTTCTGGGTTTGGTAGGTGAAAGCAGGGAGGAGCATCCAGGAGCTAGGACACCCAGATTCTCTGGAACGAAGAGTGCTCATGGATTGGGATCACAGCAAGAAAAGCAGGAATAGGTCATCTGCGTAGACCCCAGCAACAGCTGGTGGGTGAAATCAGGTAGATTGGAATTCCTGAATTCCTGGTTTAATGAATACGGAGAGCTTAAGGTAAGCAAGTCAGTGAGATTTCTGAGGAGCAGGAAGCAAAAAGGGTGTGTAGGAGTAAAAAGGACAGAAACTTAACCCTCCCCTTTGCTACCAGGACCATCCCATCGTCACTTTGCACCTGTTTGTTCACCTAATGAATATATATATATGTGTGTGTGTGTCACATGCTCATAAACTGGCAGACGCAATCATAAAATCATACTTTGGCTCCTCCCAGCCTTCTGCCAACTTGCATACTTTAACATCTTGTCACTCCCGTGGGAAAAAACAGCAACTTTCTTGGCAAGAGAAACAAGCCAAGAGTGGAACTACTTGGTTCTTCCTGCTTTACACCTGAGGACCACACTTCCCTTCCAGATCTGGAAGCCCATCTCCTTGTTCACCATACGTACCTGAAGATCTCTTGAAGCCACCCTTCCCATCAAGCCAGCAGGTCCCATCTCTATAGTTATATAAATAAAGGAGGGCCGACCTGTATGCCCATAGAGGGTTCTCTCCCAATATCAATACTTGCTTCAGAAAAGGAACGATTTTTTCCTTGGGATAGCTGTAGAGAAAGAAAAGATAATATTTTCACTATACCTACTGTGGTCCCCTTCGTGGTTAGTTCTCAGCTGATGGGATTTGTGTTTTAAAAACCCTTTGTGTAAATACGGTTTTCAGCTCTTCCTAAGTCAAAGAACCTGGATCCCACTGTGGTAAAAATAAAATGCCCACTTTCCCCAAAGGACATTCCTATGTTTATATTTTCAATTACATTTATCATTTATAGTAAATGTTAAGGACTTAATTAAAGTTTCAGTGACTTACCCTGTGCCCCACTTAGGTTACTTGTGAAGGTCTTTTTTATGGGCATCTAACATGACCTGACAACCTTTATTTTTTTTCTGAGGTGCCTTTCTGATGTCTTCCTCTGGTCTCTATCCTGTGCCAGAGGCAGCCTTAACTGTTTGGGCATTGAAGTATTTCCCCTCGTAAACCTTTTGCCATGGATGTAGTCTGACATACTTCGCTGCATGGTGTGGTCAGGAAAGCCTTAAACAAGTGTTTTTCAACCTTGGCAGCTTGAAGATGTGTGGACTTCAACTCCCAGAATTCCCTAGCCAGCATAGCTGGCTGGGGGATTCTGGGAGTTGAAGTCCACATATCTTCAAGTTGCCAAGGTTGAGAAACACTGCCTTAGAGGATGTGATTGGCCCTGCCCCTTTTAGATACTTTAGGCTAAAGTGGGCACCTTCCCTTCTGATCCCTGCTTGGCCTGGGCAGAAGGTGACATTGGAGTCCTGGTTTTGGCAAAGAGTAATCTTGGCTAATGAGTCACGGGTGTTGGGGGTGAGCCATAGCATTTGTCAGTGAGTCAAGTTCTTTTTAAATGTGGGTTGAGCACTTTTTGGAAGGAAGGCTATATCTGTGCTCAGAAGGAGGTCATGCATAGCAGAACCTGGTCCTGTGAGTCCTTAGTTCACATTAAGTTTTCCTGCCATTTCAGGTGATGTGATGCTGTCATAGAATACACCCACCCACCCACCGGTGCAAACACACACGGACACGCACATCAATCAATCAATCAATCAATCAATCAAACAAACAAAGCCGGAAAAGGATTGGCAGTGGAACAGCACATTTTATGCTGGTATATTTTTCTGTCATCCTAAAGATGGATGGATAACACTTAAAATGAGCTGTGAGAAAGTCTCACCTGTCAGATTCATACCCTTAGCTGAGAACTACTATGATAAAGCATTTTATCATAGTACAAAACACTTTATGTATCTTTGCTGAGGGAGGGTGGATAGGATGAATAACTGTCTCTCATCACCTTTTTCTTAGAACCTTCCTGGGTATGATAAAAATAGATGAGCCTTCAACAAGCCATTTTTGGAAGAACCGAATGCTACAGTAACCTGTGGCTGGACGCTTCAGGTATTTTTTGAAGCTGATTATTTTTTATCTGTTCTAGTACTAGTTTGTGGGCAGATGCAGCTTTAATTGTCCTTGTTTCTTTCTATATTTTATTTACTTATAGGAGTAGGTAGGCAAGATATAAATGACAAAACTAAATAAATGAAAAATATGTACCCTCTTTCAATCGTTATTTACAAAAAAATAAATAACTAGAAATTGATATAAAATCAGATTTAAAAAGCAACAATCAAGTTAAAAACAATAGATCACAATAATTAAAAACTATTGAAACATAAAGAGTTCGATAGAGCCAAAAGGGCTTTGGCACTCAAAACACATTATAGTGTTTGGTGGGGTTCTCTGGATGAAGAAGTCCACCCACAGAGAATCAGCACTGAAAAGGACACCATATGGCCTTCACCAGGGAGCTGTGCATACCATCGACCACCCTTGAGACATGTTGACATATAACTCTCAATGTAGCCAGCCAGTTGTCATATTGACTGTTGAAAATGGAGCAGGCCTTATCTGTAGAGTGTCAATGTTGGGAAGGCTGCTTTTGTTAATTAGTAATATTCTTCTGAATTATTGTTCAGGATTGGGCTAGATTCCCCCTCGTGAGATCTCCTAGGCCTGGAGATTCTCAAGGATCAATTTTGTCACCCACCTGAAACTCCTGGATGAGATCATTTAGGAGTGATGATATGTGGGTGTAAAAAATATGTAGATGATACTGGCACATCTTTTCAAAAGTGCTAATGTTTCTGGTGGTTTCCCTGTCACATTTTCCCTCCCACTCAGCACTACCTGCAGACAAGAAAATCAACCGCCAATTGTTCTCCTGAACTTGTGGCAGGATGAGGTTGGAGATTCAAGTCTGGAGTGGTATTATTTCTTTGGATTGTCAATTACCCAGGAGATTGATAATCCTATCCATGGATATTCCCATCCAGAGGTCATCAGACCACTGCAGGTTGGAATCAGAAATCAAAATTCCAACTTGCAGTAAAAATCTGTCCTTTATTATTTTTATAAATAACTCAAGGCAGTTAACATACCTAATACTCCTTCCTCCTCCTATTTTCACCACCACAACAACCTTGGGAGGTGAGCTGGGTGAGAGAGAGTGACCGGCCCAAAGTCACCCAGTTGGCTTTCATGCGTAAAGCAGGACTAGAACTCTCATCTCCTGGATTCTAGCCTGGTGCTTTAACCACCAGCATCTATAAAATATTTCATAGAAGTATTGATTGGCTGGGAGATTGACAATCTTGTCAGAAAATTAAAGGGGATATATCTATGTAAAATACTCCCCTACCCCCCCAAAAATCTGAGTTTTTGGAAGCTGATTTGAAATAGTTTTAAGTTATTTTTTGTTCACCGATGGAAATATTGATATCCTTGAAGACCCACATTTGATCATCCATGAGATATTCCCATGCCAGCTCCCCCCCCCCAAAAGAAATAGGCTGTGCAAGCGAGGTGTTCTGTTTCTCTGGTAACCAAAACCAGATGTTCAAGGAGGCTCAGTAGCCAGTGACTGGACGGAGCAATCCCACAGCAGACCTGATGGACCAATTGGAACCAAGCAGATCGCTGACCTTGACTGCATCATCCCAAGGCTCCTCCCCCTCCATGCGACCTAGGTTGTCCACTGGAGAAGCTTTCTGCCAGGATAAGAGGGAAAACACTGCTTTCACATGGGAACACCTAAAGCTGACTTCAGGTTGCCTCAGGGATGAAGAAACACTATGAGGACATGTCCTCTACAAACAATAGGGCATATTCATGCCATGGCAAACAAGACATCTGGATGAGCCTTCAGAAAATATTGTTCCGCTCCTCTGATAAACAGCTCTGAATAGGTCTTTGTTGTGATCTTTTCAATCAACCAATCGCCTTTTTTGCTGCTATTGTTGCTCCCTACATCTACTTTTTCATTTTCCCTTTCCCAAGAGGCATTTGTCAGGATCTGTGCAAGCTAGAAACTTCGATTGCTTTTAATTTAGTTTCACAATGTATATTAAATGGTTAATACTAAAATGCGCTAATTGCAGGCTGCTTGCTTGACCTGCCATTGAAGTTAGAAGGAAGGGGGGGAGAGAATGCCAGGTGCTG